CCGTGGGCGTCGGGGGCGCGCGCCTTGCGCTCGGGGCCCGCGTCGGCCGGCTCGTAGGGCGTGTCGTAGAGCTGCGGCGGCTTCCCCAGCAGGTCCTTGGAGCCCCGCCTGCGGGCCAGCGCCTCCGCTTTCGCGCCCGGCTCCGCCGGCTCGCAGGGGCTGTCGAGCAGCTGGAGGGCCTTCACCAGCGGATCTTTGGAACCTCGGCGTCTAATTTCTGAAAAACATGCACCGCGCACACCACCTTGAAAGACGCGAGCCAGGGAACCTGGTAATGAACCGAGTTACCGGCTCCCCTCGGGCTGTCTGTGCGGGAGGAGGTGGCGGCGGCGCCAACATTGCTCCCTAAGGGCTGTAGGAAGGAGCCTGCAACCTCTCCCCGAGTAGCCGGAGCCAGATGATGGGATCAAATCATAAGATGTGGGATCTCCTCTGAAGACAGGTGTGCGTCTGGGGGCCCCCTGCAGTCTGTGAGGACAGAAGTGGCCTCCAGGCAACCTGTTCCATCGTTCCTGGTCCCTGAGGGCTCTGAGTATGGGTTACCTGCAGAGTTTCCACTAGCTAGGAAGCTGAGATCAAAGTATTTAAATAAAAATCGACGCAGTGTTTACTATATTCAAAACACTGGGCATTAGACAGTCTTCTTGACTTCTTGACTTTCAATATAGTGGGGGAAGCCAGACACGTTCACAATTAACATGTAACAGGCTAACAATTGCAGGAAAAATAAAAGTAAAAGGTGTCATGGGGAAAAACAGAAACAATAATAACAACAGCTAACATTTATCGATGGTGTGCTATGCATTAAGCACTATTCTGAGCACACTGTAATTTTCATAGCCACCCTAAGAGATGGGTACTATTAGTCCCTGATGTTACAGAAGAGAAAATTGAAGCTCAGAAAGCTTAAGGAAACAGTCCACACCATTAAGTGGCAAAGCCTGGATTCCAAAGCAGGAAGTTGGGCTCCAGAAGCCATACTCTTCACTACTGCATCTGGACTGACTCCAAGTGGAAGAGAAATGGAAGATGAGTTGACTTGGATAGAGGTCATTTCCAGTGGAGGAAGCTGCATGAGTGAAGATATGGAGGTGGGAAACATAAAGGGCTTGTTCCCAGAAAGGGGAGTTGAGAGATAAGTTCAAAGGACAGAGGCCAGGAGACGAGAGAGGTAGTGGGAGAAGAAGCCAGAAGAGTAGGCAGGCCAGGGCACCAAAGTGTAGAAGTTGTAAAGGCAAGGATGCAATGAAAAATGATTAGATGTGTGTTTTTTAAAAAATACATCTTTACCGATTTCAGAGAGAGGAAGGAAGGGATGGAGGAGGGAGAGATAGAAACATCAATGATGAGAGAGTTGTCACTGATCGGCTGCCTCCTGCACAACCCCCGACTGGGGATTGAACCCGAAACCCGGGCATGTGCAACCCGGGGGGAATGGAATGGGAATCTCCTGGATCCTACGTCGATGCTCAACCACTGAGCCACACCCAGTTGGGCAATATGTGTGGTTTTTTTTTTTAACAAGTAATAACAGTTACATTTGTATTTTGCTGGGAGATAACTCCAACACAGTGTACAGGATGGAATAAGCCAGAATGGTACGGTCTAGACTTGTGCAAAGAAGACTGAGAAGGACTGGCCAGGTAAGAAATGGATGCAAAAAACCTGATGCAAATCAACCAACTGCCAGCTAACCAGCCAGCTACAGTGGGAAAGAATCAGCAGTATCTAGGGACTGACCAGCTTGGAGCCCAGAGGCCTTGGAAGGTGAAGTTAAAGATGTCTAGAGTTTGGACAACCACAGCTGGCGATATAGACCAACAGAAGCATTGTGTGGTTCTTCTAAATGCCCTCAAGAAGCCTTCAAACTGTCTACTTAGTCACGGTCAAGGAGGACCTTTCTAAACACAAACATCTCATCTCATCACTTAACACCCCATAAGCTCTCACCTGTCTACTTATAAGGTACAAACTGCTCAGCATGGCACGGAAGGCCTTCTGTGACCAGATCACTGTCTCCCTCTCCAATTTCTTCTCGCAACACCACCCTGCCCCATCACTCCACAATCCAATTCTTTGTTCCAACCAAATGGAACTTGTGAAATTCCCTGAGCACTATACTGCTTTATGCCCACTAGTGTCCAGGTGATCTTCCATCCTTTGAAATCTAACCTAGAATCTCCTCCAATTCCCTACCTATCCCAGGTGCCACCACTTTGCCAACTGACTCTCACCTTGCCCTTCTCCCACTGTATGGATTTATCTGTTTCTGTGTCTGTATTTGCAGTTTGGTGGAGACCGCCAGGGCAGGGACCACCACCGTCTTGTTTATCTTTGCAGGACACACAGTTGTGCTAATAATAACTGGGTGGATGGGAGGAGAGAGAGAGAGGAAGGAGCTTTAGAACTTCTTCAAGCAGTGACTGTATGGATGTGGGGTTCAGCAGAGAGAGGAAGGTGAGAGTTATGCATCAAGGAGTTACTCACAAACAGATTGTTGTTGGTACTGTGAGAATGAAAGCAATCACCAGAGGAAAGGACTGAAAGAATCTGGGCTGAATCAAAAGCAGAATCTGGGCTGTCTTCAGTCAAGGGCGAATGGAAGAAGAGGTGCCAGCGCAGAAGACTCAGAAGCAGTGGTCACATAAGGAGGAAGAGGGTCTCAAGACTGCAAGGCCATAGGACAAAGGGAAGTGAGACTTTCTATAGGTAAAGTGGGCATGGCATGGTGACACTATGGAGAAGAATCACTGATTCTATAGCAAGGAAAGAATTAACAAGGAAAGGACTTCTATAAGAAGGGAAGGATAACAAACATTCAAGGGAAAGTTATTAAAATCAGGACACTAAATTAGACAGGACAACATTTATTGAGGTTATAATTCTGCTGGATAGGGGTCCCCGAATGCAGTTCATTGGAATCACCTGGGAGCTTTTTTTTTTTTTTTAAAGTTTTTATTGATTTCAGAGAGAGGAAGAGAGACGACAGAAACATCAATGATGAGAGTCATTGATCCGCTGCCTCCTGCACACCCCCTACTGGGGATCGAGCCTGAAACCCAGGCATGTGCCCTGACCAGGAATAGAACCATGGCCTCCTGGTTCATAGATCGACACTCAACCACTGAGCCATGCTGGCCAGGGACCTGGGGAGCTTTAACACCCACTGATGCTGGCCTCCTTTCATCAGAGATCATGATTTAATTAGTCTGAGATATGACCAGGGAGTTAGAGTTGCAAAAGGTCCCCCAGGTGATTTTAATGAGAAGCTAAGCCTGAGAAGCACTTCCACACCTCCTTGGTCCTCATGGTCCCCCTCTCAGTTCTTCCTGCTCCCCAGAGCTCATCTTTCTAGCCCCATCCCAAAGAGAAGGGGTCTCCTGTATCTAAAGCCTCCACATCAGAAGGTCAGAACGGGAGAGCTAGAACTGTCCCCACCCCCAGGCCAGGAAAGGTGCCTGGGGTTGTCTGAGGTCTCCTGCATCTCCGGTCCAAGCCTCTTGACTTTCAAACCAAAAGATTTTTTTCTTCATTGCTTATTCTAGACGGAGTTATGGAAAATAAGAAACAAAAACATACTCTGCTCTTGGTTCAATTAAGATAAGGCTGGAGTTTCTTAAAAGGAAAGAGAAAACAAAAAGGAATTCATAGGATGGATTTAGAACTTTTAAGTTTCTGATCAAAACCTAAGTTTGCCCTCAGTTTGGTCTGGCACAGGCTAGGGAAACCTTTCCCAAGGTCCTTGCCTCAATTCTGTCCCAATTGAACTAAATGGAAAAGGCGTTGATTCCAACCTTAAGATACAAGAAGTCATACAAGATAATTTCAATAAATTTGTGTTAAAATGGTGCACAGTGATTAGAATCCTGAGTTATTACACATGTGTTTGAGTTTTTACTTTTGAGATGAGGTCCCTGCATTTCTATTTTAGGCAGTCTGTGTACACAGAGCTGGGAAAAACACTGGAAAGCATACAACTGAAAATGTTCCTTCCCGAGATGGTCCTGGGATTGGGCAAAATCTGCAAAGTATTATCATCTTTTTAAACAATGTTTAATTAGGGGAAAAAAAGGGCTTGAGCGCAGGGCCCCTCCGCCCCTTCAAGGGGAGTAACCTTCCAGTCCATTCCAACACCTGGCTGCCCCCAACCAGAGGCGCCATAGAAACAGAAACAATCGTGGGGCTGCAAGCCGACCCTTCCTGCAGGGAGAATAGCCCCTGACGTGCAGAGCTGGCTCGGAGAGGAAACGGGCCTGAGAAGGAGGAAATGGCCAGAGGAAGCTACGCCCTGGCTTTGCCGATAGAGGCCATTTACACGGCAGCCAACAGAATGCAGCCAACAGGCTGCAGATAAACACCCATCTGCAGCCCAAACCCAGGCCCCAGGCCTGACCTGCACCAGCCGACAAGGTGGTGTGCAACAGAGTACGGGCTGAAATCTTCCCTTCCCAATTCCCAAAGCTGGCTGTGCATAATGATGCCATTTCTATTTAAAAACATAGCATAAGACTAAGGCTTCCTTTTACTGAATTAATTGTAGTCAGCACTTGTTAATCCTCGAATTGTCCAGAATTCTCTTTGAAAATGGAATCCTCTCTGGACTGTCTAAATAATGGCTACATTCCTTGGGTATGCTTGTACTAGATTGTTATACCTAGTATCTCAGTGAAGCCTTATAATGGGGTGAGAGAAGTGTTATCCCATTTTCACAGGTGAATAAACTGAGGCTGTGCAGCAGTGAGCAGGGGAGACTTTTAGCACTGACTCCAGAGCTTTCCCTATCATTCCTTACTTTATGCCCCGAAGATCTCATGTAAAACGTTAATTACAATGTCTACAATGCACCTTTTCCCCTAATTATTTCATAATTTAGCCTGTGCCAGACTAAACTTAGAGCCTCATAAAGCTCTTTTTTCCCCCTCACAGAATCAGAAAAAGCATTGCCTCCTGCATGGAATCAAACCTGCCACCTTTTGCTGTAGTGGACAACGCTTCAACCAGTTGAGCCACACTGGCCAGGGCTGTTAGGTAACTTTTTTACTCACATCTTTTGTCAGTGCTCGAGCTTTTGATTTAAAATTACTTTAACATTTTCTGAACAAAAGCAGATATAATTCAGAAGCCCTGGAATTTAAGTTTATCTTAAATTCGTATCTTTTTATGAACAATCCTCTGGATAAATCTAAGTGAGACTTTATTCATAAATTTATACATTCTTAGCTTTTAAAAGTTAAGAGCAAAGTCTTGGAAGGGATCTGGGAGCCTGGTTCCCAGTTATTTGGTCATACTAAAATATTAAATGCCTCTTAATTTCTGTTTCTTCCTCTGTTCCCTGAGGCAGATGACCACGATTCTAATTCTCTACTTCACAGGCACTTACCACACTTTACCATGACATATTTTCTTCTGAATTGGTGTTAAGTCTGTTAGCCCCCTTGGGCTGTGAGGTCCATAAGGACATGGGTCATGTGGTTCTTGTTCCCTGTATGCTCAGATTCCCAGCACAGGGCCTGGTACATGGTAAAGAAATATTTGTTTGATGTTATAACATCATGAACAGTGTTCTATCCACCCAAGATACTGTTCAAATCAGACATGTGGTTCCCACTTCACAGGTATTAAAAAGGCAAGACAGAGGCTGGAGGCTCCACAGTTAAGTAATTCATTAGTACTGTCTCCTTCTCCTACAGAAATGCTGAAACAAACTAAAAAGAAATCCCTAATGTTTCTCAAGAAATATGGGACATTTCTGAACTTGGACTTAATAACAAATCACACAAGGAGCAAACGGAACAAAAAAGGTAAAAGGTTTAAAAAAACAACCACCCAGCAGCAAATCTTTTATTCCCAGCTTCCGATAAACTTACTTCCTGTTATTCTGTCCAGCTGTGTAACCTACGGGTAGAATAAGAGGCATATTCGCTACATTGATCGAGAAAGTGCCTTTTGATATATATTTTAAATGAAGAAACCTGAAAATTCAGCAGTATTTTTTTAAAAAGCAAAGAAAAAAGATCTAGTAATTTAAAAAATTTAAATTTTTAATAAATTTGAATTTATTCTCCAATTGACTACATTAATTTCACTTTCTTAAATGAATTTATTCATGTAAATGACTTAATACAGAGCCTGGAACTAATAAATGCTAGCTATTATTATTACATTTATTTCATGTTGGACAACTTTGATTTTTCACTATGACCCTCTCCATGAGTCTGAGTAGAAAGATGCCTTGCTTTTCAGTAAAGTTTAAAGTGTGGTTGCATGCATTGTTTCATATGTTTTGGGGACAACTTGGTGTAGGAAGCAGACCGCCCCATATGGAGTGGGAAGATCTGTCTCTTAATAAGTCTTATGCGCACAGGCAAGTCAGAAGCTCTTTGGTCCGGTAACAAGGGGGTAGTACTGGAGTCCCCTAACTTACAGAGTTTTGTGGGGATTATATGGGGAACAAAATATATATTCACTTTTAAAAAAAGCACAGCACTTTCCCTATTATCAGTGTGGCTCCACAAATAAACAGCCGGGCTAGGATACATAAACTACTTATTCCAGTCAAAGAGAAACAGGAATAAAAACCAGAAGACAAAGAAAGGTGAATCAAAAGGAAGCATTTTTTTTTTTTTTTATATATTTGTCCTCAATTTTATGTGAAAGTAAATCTTTTCCCCTATTTCTTTCAAGCCTCTGATATTTTTTAAAATTCTGACTAACTTCATTTTCACTTCCTTTCATTCACAGATTTCAGTAGAGGTCACAGTCCAGTAACCTTCAGGGTCGCAGCCTGGCCAGGGTACACCCTCCCCAAAGCGGAGCCTTATCTCTGCAAGCAGAGTGCAGGAAACAGAGCAGTCCTTTCCTGTGGCAGCTCATTTTCATTTGGAAGCCTGTCTTGACCCTTCCAGGGGGCTGCCGTTACCCTTCTGCTCAACTCTTCTGAGACTGTGCTTATGGAGCCTGGGCTTGACAGCTTTTCAATCTGTTTCTAAACAGAAGAGACAGTCTAATGTGTGACCAATTATGCCTTTCCCAGGCACGAAATCCACGACCCTCAAATGAGGCTCAATTGAGTCAGCACTTGGGAACTTCATTTCTCATTATGGATTAAAGAATGTTTAAGGAACATTAGGCGAATAAATAACTTACTCTAAAGTTCACACACACACACAATGAAATAACTAGTAAATATATCATTTTAAAAGTATTGTTTACACCACCTTAAGAGAATTACGAATAAAAGGGAAAAGCCTGACACCAAAAATGACAGGGTGACTGCTTAGCTCACAAGTTGGAATTGTCCCAACTTGCAAAGTTACAAGATTGTCGACTGGCTTCAGGAGGTTTGCATTGAATGGCTTGGCTCATTCCAGTGATTAGTAATCATTCCTTAGATATTAAATATTTTGCTCCAATACTGTAGAGCTTATTGAGGAATCAATCTGCTATAACATAGAGGACCGTGTCATTTTGCATCTTTCAACAACTTAAAATCCTTTAAATGTGTAATAGTCCCTTGGTACAGATTTGTGAGTCCCACGATGGGTGTCAAAGCTTTGAAAGTGGCCAAGAAATGTATATAAGTATCTTAAAACAGAAGATCATGTTCTGAACAGATCTGCAAACTTTACTATGAAAGAGTGTCATTTTACATAAAATTAGAAAAACTTTAAAGACCCCTGTAAAGTCTAAAACTGAAGGATACAAACTATATAGGAAGTTAACTAGATATCTGAATTTAGTTTTGAGTCTATTTTTGCCCCTTCCAGTCAGCAGGATCTGGTTCAATTGCTTCATCCCTCTTCCCTAAACACACAGTGATTATTTCACACACTCCAAGTGAGTGTGAGATTCCTGCCCCTACTGAGCAGCTCCTGGTTACAAACCTGTTATCATCTGCTGTGCATCATAGGGCTCCATGTAGCCGTCGTTCTCGCCTACTCTCTCTGCATCCCTTTGACCTTTTGTCCGTTTGGCATCATACGGGTCAGCATAGTCTTCTAAAATGATGACCTGTAACAGAACCAGAGAGGGGAGTTGCTAAGGATTTTCATTTGCCAGAACGGCAGAGGTAGCAAAATGACTACTGACAATCTGCTGATCTGAAAAGACATCAAAATCTCCAACCGGTTCTGGATAGCTTTTGCACTTGATCATGTTATTTACCCAGTTGCACAAACGTCTGATATTTCTATGTGGTAAAATTGTCAGCAGTTCACCTAAACTCTGCTGGTCCCCAAGACTCTTTTCACCTCTTTTTCTTTCCCTACACAATAAAGCATTTGCTGGGTGGGGAGTGAAGGATGTCTATAGCTCCAGAGCGTAAGAAAACGAACTGGTCTATCACCTTCCCCTGATTTTGGTCTTTTTAATGTCAGCAAGAGGAGCAAGTCATGGTCAGTCAGTCAGTCATCCAGGCACTGCTCAATGCCCACTGGCACCAGCCAGGGAATCAAAATAAGACCAAGACCTGCTTCTTGTCCTCAAGGAATTTGTAACAGCTCAAAAGAGACAGGCTTCATAATAACAGGTCAGAACTAAACAGTATTGTGGGAGTTCTAGGTTTAATAATTCATTAGCAGGCTTATTCTCATAGGCTACAATCAGATAGAGTTTTGATGAGTATTTGTGTCAGAAAGCACCTATTCTTCCAAAAGTACAAAGGGGCCTGGAAGGTGGTGTGTGTGTAATCGTTCTGTTCTGCAGCAGCTGTGTGACAATGTGGGAGGTCAGGTAAGAAGCCCCTTCTCTGAGAAGAAGTCTGCTCCACAATCTCTACATTCTCCAAAGAGTTCACGCAGAAGGACCACTGGAGCTGGCAGGAAGCCTTCAGTTAAACAGGGAGAAGTGAGGAAGGGACACCTGGATTGAGAGCCCTCCACTTGGGAGGAGATGACATAAGAAACTCAGACATCCAGAAGGGATGACCACGGAAATAACCAGGCAACCACTGCCAAGGCCTGTGATTAACCACTCACTCCTGACTCCATCACCGGGTGTACTACATTCCCAAAGTTCAGCCAGGAACAGAAAGCGTGCTATGCAGCCTCGGCTGCGAGGTGCTTATGCTCTAGTAAGTCAGGTAGACTACTAATACTTGGACAAGCTGGGGCCTTGGCAGTCATTCCACGGCTCTCCCCAGTGCCTGGCACAAGGTAGGCATGCTGTAAATATTTGTGGAATGAATGAATGAATGGAGAAATGAATGGAAGCGCTCGATGCAGACACACATGGTCTGTGCTCCTGACTCCATTCAGGTGGGCAGCATGTTTGAAGCCCGGGCAAGAGAAATTCAAGTTCCTACAACAGAAAGTGATCATCCAGGCTGGAGTCTAAAAGCTCAGTTTCAGCTCTTCTTTCTCCCCTTTTCACACAGAAGAGTGGGTCTAAAACAAACACCTAACTCATCTCTGTAAAAATGGACCGAGTCTCTTCACATGCTCGCTGCCCTCAGAAAACCTCTGGTGTGCCAGAAGCAGCTCTCTCCCCAGCTGCAACTTCCTTGAGAGTGTTTCTTTGTTCCATTCTGTGTCCCCCTGCAGAGCCCTGTGCCCTTTATGCTCTTTGGCTGCTGTACAGCAAATGGTTATGGGCTGAATGAAAGGGCTGTAACCTTGGGGTGCTAGGGAAGCTTGGAGAGGCCCTTCATTAGGTGGGGAGCTTCAGAGCTGGGGGTGGGGTGGGCTGGCCAACCCATTCTCGGGAGCTCTGAAATCCATAGTCACACAGTTTGGAGGTTACCACTCCTTATGATCAAGAAGAATTAAAGTTATACACAGTCTAGCTTTGCAACCCCCGCTGGATGTCTAAATTAAAATAAACCATGATCTATAAGGGGGCCAAATTGAACAAAGGGACGTTTCATTCAATTACTCATCTGAACTGCTAACAAAATTAAATGGGTAGTAAATTTCTGCAAAGTTCCCCATCTCTAGAATGAGGATTTTTCAAGATGGAAAAACTAATGACTTTGAATGGTCATTTAGAGTCACCGAACGCTCGAGGAGGAAACGCATCTCCCCCTTCTCTGGAGCCTAAGGAACTGCGCCCAGGGGTTACCAGGTTCGCTGTACTCTTTCCCACTGTTTCGCTTCGGGGACACAGGAGGTGGCGGGGAGGCTGTCTTCTTACCGTGTCTTGCTGCTTAATAATCTTGCCCTTGTCCAGTTCAGGGCCCAGGGAGGAAGGGGAGGAAGACGCGGAGGAAGAGGAGCTGCTGCTGCTGCTGCTGCTGCCGCCGCCGGGGTAGCTGCTCTTCCCATTCTTCTCCTGAGTGTCCACCTTGATGAGCCTGTTGATGTAGGTGCTGCAGCCCGAGCTCTTGGCCGCAGCCCGGTGCGGCTCGTCTTCGGCGGTGCGGGAGTTCTTGCGGCTCTTGCCCGCGGCGGCCTGAATCAGCCCCTGCAGGCTGTCCCGAGACAGCCGGCTGTCCTTCGGGGCGGCGCCGCCGGCCCTGCCGCCGCCCGGCTCGGCGCCCGAGTTCTTGCGGCCCT